TAGGGTGAATACATCTCATATTACTGAATAACTGGTAGCCTCGAAACTCTACTCTAATACGAAAATATTTATGATACGATAGAGAAAGCTCTGGGCCCTGCTCTTCTGAATAAGGAAACTAATTTAGGCGAAAAGATGCAAATGAGTGGATGGACGGGCGAAATTGCCACAGGATGAAATAAGCAAGTTAATCTACAATTAAATGTTCGTATATTCATAATAACGAGAAGACCGATGATGAATTCTATATTCCTTTAAATCACATGAAAGGGCATAAAAGCTTTATTATCCATTCTATTCAATCCCCTTTTCCAGGAGACGTCGCAGGACTCGTTCCCGAGAGGAGACGAATCCCGAATGCCCATCATCGAGAAGCTATTGTTGAAAGGGGCCCCGCCAGCCCATTATGCTCCTCCGCCCTTTCGGATAGTCCGTTAGTCGAGTCACTGGCGCAACGTCCATTGTATGGCCTAACAGATTTGGCCATTCCAGCACTAGCCTCAGAGACCCAGGCCAGTGAGAAGGTTTCACACGTTCTTGTGACCGGTCTTCCCACAGATTCTTCTCATTCCTCTTCATCCTCCTCTTCCTCTTCCTCATTATCATCATCTTGCTCAGCCATCTCAACCTACTATTCTCCGCCTTGCCAACAGCATGCCTTTTCTGAACATCCTTCCGCACCCAACTCTTCTAATTTGCTACCAATAGAGATAGTTACAACTTCTGCTCTGGCCTCATCTGGCCTCCTTCCTTCGATTTCTAAGTCGGCTCTTTCATTTTCCTCCTCAGCAATGTCAGCCAGCCCTTTTCCCCAGCCTTCCTCCCCGAGGCTCTTTAGTGACTCCAACCAAAGACATCTCGAAAATAACCGACCTCTGTTTAGCCCTCAGCTTACCTCACAAAACCTCTTCATTCAGCCGCCTGTCCTGCTCTTTGAACAGGCTCGGACAAAAATAGATGCTCCCAGCCTTGCTTCTTCAGCCCTGCCTCAGCCTCCTCTACCTCCGCCACAGACCATCTCAATTCCTCCGTCGCCTCTGCTGCCGCTTCTTCAGCAGGCTCAGGTGCATCGTTTTCTCGATCCCCATCCAATTGAGCTTTCCCTCAACAGTGCCCAAACAGTGCGTCACCTGGGATTACCCAATTCCCACGAACCTAGCGCCTCTGCGGCTTGTTTCCAAACTTGCCTTGGCAACTCTGGCCGGCAAGCCCGGCACTCTGCCATGGACTGCATTGCACCCTGTCAATAGGTTATCTGTTCATGCTAGTCTCGAGACCAGTTGTCTCCTTTATCTTCTTTTAACTTTTGGCGAATTTGTGTTCTGCCCCAGTCAATTCTCCCATTCATTTGCATTGCTGCTTTGCCCATTTTTTCCTCTTGCAGCTTATTCCTTCTATCCCAACTTAAAATACAAGTTACCATTCTAGCCCTTGCTCCCCACCTACTCTTATATTCTAGTATGTCTAATCGACTCGACCAAGCATACTCAGTTTTACCTCTCACCGGAGCACTTCTTTGAAGAGAAAGTCATTACAAATTCTGGGAAAAATTAGCTTCCGGAGTCTCACCGCGCGAATCGGAAGAGGTTCAAAGCAATGACTATCAAGATTACACTTCAGTTTCCCCCAGCCTATATTACTTCCTTGTATTTTGTACACGTCTTGTTCCGACAATTTAACTTGTGGATCCACAAATCCTAGATCCACAGCATTGGAGTCAGTAACTACAAACGACTACCCTTGCTTAAGCATAGTAATAATTTAGATGCCATGGGCAATGGTGTGGATCTCACAACTGAGAGGAAATCTGAGCCCGTAGGGCTTTTTGATAGGAATCCCAATTACAACATACTACCTGACATGCAATCTTAATTCTGATGCATACGTGTGCGTATATGCGCCTGTATGTTTCTCGAGATTATGCACACAGTACTACAGTGTATCTCAATAACCAGTGACTTTGCTGACATATATGCACTTTTTTCGCAACGACACTAAGAATATTTCCCGCCAGCAAGTTGATCAATAACAGAACAATCGAGACGAGTATACCATCCTATTACAAATTTAATTTGCTCCTTTTTTACTAAAGAGAGTCTATTTAATTTATATCGCAAAATCCTTGGCATCCCGCAACACACTATACTCACATCCACCAACTAACTTATCAAGAAAACATCCAGCCATTCACACAGCAGATCAATCAAACGCGGAAACAAAATGACCGGAAAAACTATTTGTCTCGACTAACTGATAGGAATTATGATCATATTATAAAACCCCATACTCAACACCTATACAACTGAAATATGTAAAAAAGAGATGCCGATCTAACATTCCTGTAAACAATCACCCCAAATTATATTTTCTTTTTGCTCATGTAAAGCTTACCTGCAGCCTCCAGTTATCAAATAATTGCCTCTTCTCTCTTGACAAGGGTAAATGGAAAGTGTGGTTTCAAGCGTACAGCTGGCATTTTGGTACAAATGACTTTGGTGGGGACTCTTAGCTAGAGCAGATCATTTGGGGGTTATTCGAAGGAAGAATTCCATATTAGGAATAAGAATAATGTGTAACTATCAGTAATTTTTAAATATAAATTTACTCACCCTAGGCCATCTAAGGTGTAGCGGAGCTTTCTCCACAATTTACTGAATAGGTCCACAAGGCCATGACATTTCATGTAGCCTTGCCTCTCAGATTTTCTCATCCGGAATGGACTGCAGTCTAACTTGGTCCAGGCCCTGTCGAAACCCTCAAGGGAATTCATGATCTAATAATTAGCATTGTGGTTGCACAGACATAGGCACTAATAGGTTGTAGGGCAGATGTTACCTTCAAGGAAATTAGAGCCTCTTCCAAATAACATTTTTAGTAAGGCTGTAAATGAGACAAGCAAGCCCTTGTCATTACATTTGATGAAGTTGCTTATTTTAGGCACAAGTAAGTTTCAAAACTTTCAGTTATCCTCCATTAAATCTGAATCGCCCTTGATCGCTTAAGGTTGCTTAAGGACCGACAGTGGAATTTTCTTCAATGATATAAGTAGTGTTTTCGATGGCATTGCATTTCATTTAGCTTTGCCCTTAAAAAGGCTTTCCTCTCTAGGATTGGCTGCAGTTACGATCCCGTCAAAGCCGCATCAACAAGCTCCTTTGAGTTTTTGTAACCTAGGCTCTTTAAAAATAGCCTTGAGAGGTAGGTCTGGAATATCCTCCTTTTGACTAGTGAAAAAATAAACGGCTCTCCCATCAAGGACGCTGTGACGATACTTGGAAGTGGTAAGTCTATTATAGTCTCTACAGCAAATCAAGTAATTGTGAGGGCGAAATATTCGGTCAATGCTTAGTCTGCTCTGCCAAGAGAAATGCCCTTATCGACCAACCTTATGACTCCAATTCTGAATAAAATCTTGTTCATAAGGGTTCACTTCCGTTCATGATTTGTACACGATCTTTGAACTTAAATAATTACAATACCAACTCTCGAATAAACTAGACAAAAAATATTAGTAAATTAGCCTTGCAAGAGAGAAATAACAATTTAATAGTGTCTTTACTAATTCTATTTTCAGTGACAAGTGAATTCTTCCATGGCGAATAGCAATTTGCAGAAGGGGTAAGGGGATAGATTGAACACGTTTATAAACACGATATCAGGCAAGAGACTTGGCTAAGTAAGAGTTAAGGCATCAGGGGCAAATGACCTAGATGCAGCTTGGGTGATGTCTTAGTCGCAAGACAGATGTGAATGTACTATCTCCCCTCTTCTGGTGTGCACGTATTTTGTTCTCAAAACCAAGGCTAAATTTTTGTTTGTTCATGTGTGATTGTGTTTGCGATCAATTTAAGAGTAGTACGAGAATCCATGGAAAATCAACTTGCTTTTCACACATTAAAGTTCGGAAACTTAACAGGATAAGTAAAAGTTCCTTCTGCTTCGTGCTAGGAGCGTAGAGAAGATTGATCAAGTCATATGCTTAAGATACGACTTATAGACATTGACTTGTTATATATCTTCATCAGGCCTAAATCAGGCCGCAAATGAACAATAGATGAATATAAGTGCAAGAATGGAACTCAAAAAGTGATGAAGATGAAAAATCGGAGTGCGAGGACCAAGAGGAAAGAGAAATATGAGGATACATGAAGAGGGATTAGTGGGAGTGGTCAAAGAGGAAGATATTGACAGGAGGTACGCACAAACATAATTTAAAGCAGATCTTGCAGAGACCCACGGGCAAGTGTGTCCAATGAGTTGAGGGACCACATGCCCAGGATCTCGTACAACTGAATTCACGACACATGCTTCAACCGACGCGCATTCCATGCTATGACAAGAATAAGCCAGCCTAGAATCCCAAACAACTTTTCATTCATTGCAAAACACATCTATGATATTCACTTTTATCCCTTCACCTTAAGGCTCTTTAACCCATCACTTTCCCAGCTTGACTCCTCCCTCCACACATTCTTTTTTACCTATACCCCCAACCCCATCTGCCTCTTAACTCGCCTCACACAAACCGTAATGCCAAAATTCGTTGTGTCCCACTCCCCCAACGTTTTTACAACTAGCAAGCTGGCAGATTCATTTTCTTTACGCATGATTAATGGAAGACCTGATGAGCTCGCCAAATGCCACATTTGATCTTGGTCCCCTCCAGAGAGGCGAAGGCCTTAAAAAGTTCCCAACACTAGTCCAAGTTGAGCCACATACAAAGAAAGGAATTGAGAAGAAGAGAAATTGGGGGTGGAGGCATTCGGTAAATACCCACACTCCGATAGAGGACAATCTGTTCCTCATATTAGCGTCCTTCATAAAGGAAAAAAAGCATCATATGGCTGGTATACATTGACTTGTATTCCATAGTTCGATCGCTTGAGCTTTGTGATCTCTCTCACACCCCAGTAAACTATGGAATTGCCGTAAATACCACCAAGAAGAGATTAAACCATGAAATTCGCGATACAAGGCTGTGTAATTTACCTTGTGGATGAGGATCATATAGAGTAAAGCGTAGCAGACATCTGTTCTGCCCCTTGAAAACGGGGCTCGTGTTACAGATAAACCTTTATCTTACATTAATCATTGAATTGACAAAAAATCCTGAATATCCTCGTGCCGAATCAAGAATTTAAAGAGATATAACAGCTGAGCACAATCTCAGGAGATCACTTTCTTTTGACTGTCATAAGTGGGCATCGGATAGTGCATTTATTTACATGTGCAGGTAGAGCATGCCACGACCTTTTTTTACCAAAAACTCCTGGAATTGTGCAATAGTCTGACATTTAGGGGGTTGCAAGCGCTGATTTAAACAGAAGGATTAGCAAAAGAGATTTTTACCAGCCGGTCTTTATAGCTCCGAAAACCTCTAGTTCTATGCCTGGTTCCAAAAGCAAATTGAGTTTTACATCAAAAATCTCTTTTGAAGTAGAAATGTCAAGGAACCTACGGTGCTCTGTTATCATAGTGAATACGTCTAGTTTACCTGTTTTGGTGTGATGGGTTCACTCAAAATCTATAATGATGGTGATTTGCTACCAGCATAGCAATAAAAATTTTCCCAAAATGTATATGGTTTCATCTGTTTAAGTGCCTGCTTGTGAGTTAAAATGAGTTTACCATGCGTGTAAAAGAATTTTTATCACCTGATAACGTGAAATGGCAAGCTTATTTAGTCAATTACGGCTTCAACTCAGATTAAATCTAAAAGGGCTCTGACTTGGTCTTCGTAACTTGATCATATTGTCAGAACCAGCTCGACGAACGCACCATGGCC